CCGTTGCTGCAGGAGGTGACAGGGTTGATGTTCTGCAGCCGTGTTTTGGGGAGGAGCTGGAGGCACAAATACTAATACTAATGGCCAGTCTCTTCGCGAACGAAGAACCGGGGAAGGTCTTTCCACCTTCCAGCCTGCGCATTGGATTTTTTAGGTGAGACACAGTGTGCGCGGAACTGAGCCCACCCTTTAATCCTGAGGTTCATCTGCCGGGGCCAAGCACACCAAGAGCTTGTTCAGCATCCCGGGAGAATCCTGCTGCGGAGCAGGGAAGCAAAGCCACCTCCTCCCAGCTGCAGGACAGCAGCGGCTCCCACGGGTCCGTTCTGCTCTGCTTGATTCAAAACCCTGCAGTGAAGGGTGGGAAAGGTGACCTGGAGTCTGCAGCCTGCTGGGTTTGCTCCTTGTCTGGTGCTGGGGTGGTGCAGGGCTGGGAGCAGCGTGTGGCACTCCGGAGGTGGCAGAGCCCAGCTGAGAGAGCCCCGCGGGTTCCGGCGGGGAGGGACAGGAGGAGAGCCACGGACTCGGCTTCAGGGGCACAAATCTCTGCATGAGCTGCATGTTGGCACCGGGCAGGACTGGATGAAACTCGGAGCATTTAGTGGAGTTTGACTGATTCAAAAACCTCAAGGGAAATGTGGAAAAATCCCAGTGGAGTGCGGTTCTAAATTCCTCTGTAAGTGAGACAAAGCAGGAGGGTGTGTGGAGAGCAGGAGAGAGGTGTGATGATGTCTGAGGGGTGGCTGGTTGTGTTCTTAAGTGTTTCCTGGTCCTGATTACCTGTTTGTTGCTGGCAGGTCACTGCAGTGAGCGCTCTATCCCCCTGAAGCTGACCGTGTTAATGAGGGTGTTGACAGCCATGGAAAATAGGAGTGGGAAGAGCTGTTGAGTCCTCTCCCTCCTTTGTGCACTAAAAGCGGGGTGTGTTCTGGCAATCGCCTTCAGCCAGGGGTTATTGATCTCTGCGGATAAAACAAACACCTCCTGACACTTCCCCCTGTCCCAGCCGGGGCTGGAATTCAGAGCTGGGTCTGGTGCAGGGAGGACTCTGCCCGTGCCTACATTCACTTTGTGCTCCTCTGCCTCGGTGGTCTCTGCTCCTTCCAGCTGGATCTGCCCTGTCCTCTGGGGTGAGGGAGAGCGCACCGACAGCATCACTCCTGCCCTGGGATCTGCACTTCCCTGGTGGAGTTTGAGTGCATGTGAAGATCAAGAAACCCCACCTGGAGCTGTCCCAGCTCTCCTGCTCCGTGGCTATGTTGTCGGTGGCCCGCAGGAGTTACAGTGACAGCACCAGCAGTGCCCTCCTGTGCAAGTACCTCCCTGTGCTCATTTACCAGTGGATAAACTCCAGGTTTCAGTGTGTTCACAAGGCCTTTTGGAGAGGTTTAACACCCCCAGAAACATCTGAGGAAGTTCAGACAGGGAGGAATCTGCTAGAGGTTGGTCCATCTGTGTCCCTTCCTGAAGTGCTGCTTCTAACAGGCACTTCATGTTTGCACAGTGCATCAGCAACACAGAATTCTCTGCAGTGAAATGAAGAGGGATCCCTAATCACAGGCAGGAATTGCTAAGTCCAGTGGCCCAGCTGCCCCTGTAGCCCCAATAGTCCTGTCTGCTGAACGAGCTCCTGCCCAAAAAGTCAGAAACTCCTGCTCAGTCACTCAAAAAAGGAGTCCTTTTCAGGCCAGAAGGACCTCACCGAAGCATTTTACTGCTGGCTGTAAAAGCTAAGTGATGTTAAGTACAGCAGGCTGTAAAAATCAGGACGTTATTTCCTAATATGATTCATAGTTACAAAATCCAGAGCCTGGAAATCCAGGAAACCCGGGAAAGCTGCAGGATGCTGAAATGCAGGTGGTGTTTAACTTGGGTGTGAAACGGGACTTTCACCGGGCTGGCAGCGTTCCCAAAGGCTCTCTGGAAGCACAGCCCTTCTCCTGGGGCCCTGAGCATGGTGGTGCTGCACACACTGGGGTGTGTCCTCCTTCCTGACCTGTTCCTGGCTGGGCTTGGAGCTCGTGGGCAGAGGTGACACGTCCCTGGAGCTCAGTCAGTGGGACACGTCCCACTGCTGGTCCCCACAGCTTCACCCTGAGCTGCTGGGGCAGGTGGGGCTGCAGGTGAGAGGCAGATCTGGGGCCAGGTGGAGCAGAACATTCTTGCCCTGGATGTGGCAGCAAAAGCTCTTCCAAGTCCCTGGGGGCTGCCCAGCAGCGCTGGAACCTCCATCAGCTGTTGGGCTGCAAGGGACAGAGCATTCAGAGAATAATCCTGCCCAGATCCTGAAACAGAGCTCAGCTGACCTGTAAAAAATCCTGGCCACTCATCTGTTATCTTAAATCCGCTGTCTTTTCCTCCTGCAGGTCTCTGGCTGGCCGAGGTGCTGTGGAATTAGATCCATTTTACATAGCATAAATATTTAACAGCACTGGAGCCTGTAGTTTAATATTAAACAGACAGGCTTATAAATACTTCAGAATTATAGGTGCTGTCACACTACATGGAAATGGTTTGATAGGATCTAGGAGAAATATTTAGGTTTGACAGGAGAGGAAGTGATGGGGGTTAGAGGGAATCAGCCACGTTTTTAACTGCGGGAGGAGCCCATAAAAAAAAAAAAAACACCACCAAAAAAAGTTGTACAGCTTCTGTTCTTGAAAGGCAATTTGGGGGAGTTTCCTTCCCCTCAGGAAACAACAGACTGGTTCCCACCCCTACTCTCTTCAAGGAATGAAAACATTCTCAATCTTAAGAAAACACTGCAGAGAAAACAGAACAGTTCTGGAGCCAGTGCTGGGTGAGATCTCCCTGGTCGGAAGCGGGGCCATTCAGTGGGGGATTATCTTCATTAGAACGGCAAGTGGGACTTAATCAGGGATTTAGATGCTCTTGAGCCTTGTTAGTTTAAGCCCATGTACTACATTTTGCCACCTAAGAGAGTTTACAGTTTATTATTAGTAGGTTTGCTTTAAGAAAACAAACAAATCCCCACCTGCCCCGCTGGGAGCAGCTGTGCCTGAGCCGGGAGCAAGGGCTGCAATGGGCACTGCACCCACCAGATCTGGGGATTTGTCAGCTCTCCCTTCTGCCCACCAGCCTCCTGGGTGAGCCCTGAAAGTCATTTCTCTCCCCAGCAGGTTCTCCAGGCATGTGGGGGTCTAATTTCCCGTGAGATCTTCCAAATGCATTTCAGGATTAGCCCCTCCAGGCCTCTGTTCCCATCTGCGAGACAGAGATAAAGCAGAACTCGAGAGAAACGTGTTAAAATAAAAGGGAGGTACATTTTATCCCATAGGAGGCTGAACTACAAGGAATAAAAGCAGGGAAGTTGTGTGTGTTTATGGTTCCCCCATCAGCAGTGCAGGTGGGTTCTCTGTGCCAAAGTCATGGCAAAACAAACTTTGTGTATATTCTGTATCCTGTAAGAATGTGGAATGACGTGCCAAGGGACATGACTTCCAAACACTGTGGCACATTCAAACCTCTGGAGTTTGAGCGTTCTGTGACAGTTCCATGACATTCCATAGCTTGATTCCTCCCTCTGACATTGGCTGTAGCATTCCCAGGTAATGTGTTTTGTCTCTGGTGAATTCTGCTACCAAAGCACAGTTACAATGTTCAGTACAGTGTGATTTCCAGTGCAGTGGAATGGTGATTGTACAAAGGATCTTGAGTCAGCTCTTCCATCAGGAATATTTCAGTTTATGGCCTGCAAAGGCTTCTGTGCACTGTGGAGACAAATCTCCTGTGGGGTTGGTGTGGAGTTGGGAGCTGTGGCTGAGCTGGGCCAATCCCCAGTGCAGAGATTTCTTGGAAGGTGTGCCCTGAGCACTGGTTAATTCTTATCCTGGAACATATGTCTGAATCCAGCATCAGAACTTTTCAACCAAAAAAAAAAAGACTGTCCAGGGTCAGTACAAAGTGGGGTGAAGAGCCACAGGTGAGTGTTAGTGAATGAGCCTTTCCTGAGTTCCCACCTGGCAGGGCCTCAGGCAGTGATGGTTTCTGTGATATTCCCTGTCCACCTGCCCAAGTGTTTCCCTGATTGGGAGAGAAGCTGCTTTTGCACGTGACAGCACAGGTCTGACACACTGCTGGCTCAATTTGGTCCTTATCTTGACTTGGCCCAGCCAAATGTCAGGAGAAGACTCTCCCTTTGTGCCTCAGGTTTATGGTCCTTTAGCCCAGGGACAGCCTTTGGGTGAAGCCCCCGGACAGTCAAAGGCAAGGCAGGTCCGTGAGCAGGGGCAGGGGGGCTTTCCAGTGTTGTTGTAAGAATCCAGGTGCTCCCACTGAGGTCCCTGAGCACCCCAGCCAGGGAGAAGGTCCCAAAGGGCTCCTGTCCCCGAGTTCCCTGCGCTGGGAGGGACGAGCGGCGTGGGGAGGGGACGTGGTTGCTGCAGAGGAAGGCTGGATTTCCAGGGCCTGTACTGCAAGGAGGAGGAGCAGGTCCAAGGGGTTGACTTTGCAGGACTGTTGCTGCTGTGCCTGGGTCCCACAGAGCAGGCAGGAGCTGTCCCCTCACAGCAGGAGCTGCGGGTGACACCGCGGTCCCTGCTGGGTGCTGGTGTCCAGAACAGCAGCAGGTCTTCAGGAGCTCAAAACTGAGAGACAGCTCCTTTTCTCCCAATTTAATTTAATTTTTATCAGTGGTGGCTGTTTCCATTTGTGCTGTCAGGCTGAAGGACACCACCAGCCGCTGTACAAACGCTCTTGTTCTGGCTCGGGGAAACAGTCGCTACGTCCGGCTGCCTTTGGGACCTTCCCAAATCCTTGTCAATTAGTGTCAGCAACGTTACTTGGCATGTTCCAGCAACTGCCAGAACTGCTGTCAGACAGCCCTGTGTGACGGGCTTTGAGCTTTATACCATAGTGCAGGACAGTTGTTTGTTTCTTCAGGCACTGTTAAGGAACCGACACCTGGATCCACCAGGTCACTGGGCACCCGTTTCTTTGCTGATTGCAGCTCTCACACCCCTTTGTTTTCCCCTCACCAGGGTGAACCAACTCGTGATGCCACCAGCCTCTGTCAAGGTCTGAGACGGTGAGTGACCCAAACCAGCAACAGGTTTCAAGCTGCCCCTGCGCCTCCAAACCCCTGCCCACCCCTTCCTTTCCTCATTCCTGGAGAGAGGTTTCCTTACCCAGCCCTGCTCTGCACCTTTGTCACCTTCAGCCCAAACCAGAGGAAAGCAGGAACAGGGAAACCTGGAGTTCACCAACCTCCTGCTGCCCTGCTCTGGCTCCAGCACCCGCTGCCCTCAAACCACCATCCTTAACTTTGCCCAAATCTTTGTTTTCTGGCAGCACCTGCTCTTTCCTGTTGTTGGTGGACTGTCCCCACTGCCACCCTCGATCCAGGGTGACAGTTCTGAGCCAGAGGGACCAGCCCCTTTTCCCCCTGTGTGCACGTTGTCCTTATCACTCCCCCACAGCCACAGCGAGTGATAAAACACTTGCATTTCACTGGAGCCTAAATTAATTACAGCAACTTTTTGAAGAGGAGATTTCTTTCCCCATAAACTAAATGCACTGAGAGACTAATCAGAAAATCAGAACTCAGTAAGACACTTAAGAATGGCCTTTTGAGGGAAAAGATTTCATGCAATCTCTAGCACAGCAGATGTGTTATTTCCACAGAGGGGAGTGGATTGTGGGATGGGGCTGCCAGGAGCTTGCAGGCTCAGGGCTGGATGCTCACACATTGTTATTTATCAGGAGCTTTTAGTTAAAAGTTTGTGGGGTTGGGTTTTTTGTTTGTTTTGTTTAAAAAAACAAAACCCTCAACAAATCTTGGAGGAAATACAAATGGTGTTGCTGAGACTTGCCTGATAAAATAGTGACCACCTGGGTCCTGGGCACAGCAAGGTTTTTCACTGCACTTGCTTCTTTTTTGCTCCAGTTTTGTAGAGGTTGAGATAAACCAGGCCATTGTCACAGGGAATTGTTCTGTAACTGAGCAGTCACTGATTTTTAAGGTCAGGGGCAATTTCTTGCATAACATGGAGCACAGACCCCCTGACAGGAAATCCTGCAGTGAGAGAACTGGTTGTCCCTGCCCTGGTATCTTGGAAAGCTGCTGGATGGGCCCCACTGTGCACGAGTGGCTCCTCAGCAGGGAGGGAGGTGCTGATGTGGCTCCTCAAAGCCAGCCTGGGCCATCAGCAGTGCCTGCTCTGCCCTGGCAGCAGCCAGAGCTGGGATTGTGCTGCTGGGCCCTCCAAGGGACAGCAGGTTGGAAAATGACAATTTAAGGCACGGGTCAGTCCCTTTTTCTTTAATAGACGGAGGGAGTTAGAAACAGTGCAGCAAAAACACCCCTGTAATCTGCAGAGCTGCTCCATCAGGAACAGTTGAACTTACACACCTGGCAAACAGGACGTGGTTGATGCCCCAAAATACAGCAGGCAGGAGCTACACCTGCTGCTGCTCTCCTGGAGGAGGCATGTCCAGATCACAGGACATTTGTTTCCCATTCCAAACAGCTACAGCACATCCCAAAGTGCTGCCTCCACCCTGGGCAGGCTTTGCTGGCCCTCCTTGCACAGAGACAGAGGGTCTCTGAGCTGGCCCTGCCCCAAAGCCGGGATGCCCCTTTACCAATCCATCCCTGGGAGCTCCCCACTAACCCCTCCCTTCCCTTGCCTCCCCTTCCCATTCCCAGGTGCTGCTGAAGGAAAGGACACGTGGACTCTGCTCCCACCACACCAACCTCAAGCTCGAAGCCCTTCCGTGCTGGATCCCAGTGGATCCTCCAGCTCCACTCCAGCCCGAGGGGTTCTCCAGCACCAAACCCAGCCCAGCCTGGGGGGTGGGACAGCAGGAGGGGAGCAGAGCAGCTGGAACAGGACCCGCTCCAGGGGAAGGGCCTTTGTTCCTCTGAGCACCAACAGCTGCTGCCCAAGCGAGTGACTGCAGGTCGTGTCCATGGTTGTAGTTGTAGCCAATGAAGTCCAGTGGTCTGCAGGACTGGTGTCCTGTGGAATGCTGCTGCTCTGCCAGCGCTCCCACACCCACGGGCGGCACGAGCTGGGGGGCCCGTTCTGTGCATCACCTTTGCTTTGACACTGAAGGCTCAACTCAGATTATTATTTTTTATTTAAGTATGTCATAAGATGCTTTATCTCTGCTGAAGATGTTAGATGAGATATATAGATATATATATATTTAGATAAACAGTTTTTATTTAAATGTTTAAAACCTGGAGCTGCCTGTGCAACCACAGCAGACATGAGCGACGTCCACAGCTCTCCTTGTCCCACAGCCCTGGTGTCAGGCCCTGCAAGGGCACCACGGGAGGAGTTCCAGGGGGTGACCTCCCTGTCACCTGAGGCTGAGCAATGGGCAGAGGAGAGAGTCTCACTGCACTGGGAATGCTGGTGGTTGTCACAGAAAGGCCCAGGACGTTGGGCAGAAATCCCTGCGGGCTCTGGAGTTTTCCAGACGCTCAATTCAGCCTTGCCTGGGAGGCTCACAGGCTTTCAAAACACCAAAATCCACCTGGCTGAACTGCTGTACGCTGGGCCTGGGAGTGCAATACTGCTGTGCCAGTGACCTCGTGCTTTGTTTACATGATGCCATATCACACGGACTGTCGATGCTAATTCTCCCTGTCAGTGTTCCAAAGCAGTGGCTGATACTCTGTTTCCCGGGAGCAGCCTTTGGGCTCCTGCACACCCAACCCTGCCCAGTCCAAGTGCTCTCCCTGGGGTGTCACCATTTGAGGCCTTTCAGGCGAGGCCAGTGCCTGAACCGGGCGAGTCTCAAGTGCAGGGACGTGTCCTGGGGCCCCCTCACTGGGTTTTGTTCCCTCGTTTCCTGCACTTGGCCTCCAGGAGCCCAACTGATGCCATGCCAGGTGGTGCTGCAGGAGTGTGGGGCAGCAAGGAGAGCACAGAGAGCACAGGCCCTGCCCAGCCAGGCTGCTTCACATGGGGCTCCAGGAGCTCCCCACTCCCTGTCTCTGCCCACCCATCAGTTCAGATCCCCCTCCAGCTCAGCACCTTGAGCAGGGGAAGGCCCATCCTGTGCTCGTGGCTCACCAGGGGCTGCCCTTGGGCTCCAAGCAGGACTAAACCAGCTCAGGAACTGCCAGGCTGGGACTGGATGCAAGTTAAGGCTGGAAGGTGCTGTCCTGGCTGGGCCACAAGGCTGCCCAGAGACACGGGAAGGTCCCCTTGGCCTGGGTTTATCTCCCATTCCCTTCCAGGCCGTGCTGGGACCTCCAGCACAGCCTTGCAGTGGGGATGGGTGTGATTCCAGGTGCTCACCCCACAGGCAGTCTCTGCCCAGGCAGGTTCCAGAGGTGGCTCCTGTCACCCCACGAGCCTTTCCCCCTCCTCAGACCCCACAGGACTCCTCTGCAAAGGCTCTGTCACCTGAAACACCTGAACAACAGCTCAAGATTCAGCTAAAGAACCAGAGCCAGAAGTGTTCCTCGAGTGCCTGGGCATCCTCTGGAGAGCAGCGAGTGGGTGCTAGGAATAACAAAGCAAGGCAAATCCCGAACAATGCTTCACTTCCCACCTCATGCCACTGTTTACATTCCTAGGGGAAACGAGGCCCCTGCAGTGTGGAAGCCAAACGCTTGGCTTTAAAGGCACATGAATTTCTGATTCCCGTTAAGAAATTCCTTGTTAAGCTGTTTAAAAAGAAACAAAAAGCAGCCCAACAATCAGTCATTTCATCTCCGAGACCAAAGCAGATTAACCACATTTCCGAAATTGCTTTTCCAATAGGCTCCCTCTGTTGCAGCATTTGCTTGTCAACAAAATGAAACATTCCTGCCAAGGTTCAGAGATCAGGAATTCTCCTGTAACTGAATTCTCGGGAGTCAGCCACGACCAGGGAACTGAAGTGGTTTGTAGTGTCCTTGTCTGTGACAGGCCCTGTCAGAGCTCAGTGCTGGTTGTATCTTCTGAAGGAATTGCTGTGGGCTCTGTTGAATAAGAGGGAAGGCAGCAAGCAAGGGAGTGAGAATTGAGTCCTACCTGCACCAAGGGATCCCTGAATCCCTGCTCCTACCTGCACCAAGGGATCCCTGAATCCCTGCTCCTACCTGCACCAAGGGATCCCTGAATCCCTGCTCCTACCTGCACCAAGGGATCCCTGAATCCCTGCTCCTACCTGCACCAAGGGATCCCTGAATCCCTGCTCCCACGTGTTCCAGGCTAGGAGAGGGAGGCCCAGGCTCCTCCCAGCTCCCCACGGGCTGTGGGACCTGCAGTGCCAGGTCCTTGCTGTGTTCACTCCCCAGGGAGGCTCCAGGCTGCCCTCAGTGAACCACGAGGGTTTTCTTCTCCTCCACTTCCTAAAGGGGATTTTTTTAAAGCATTAACTGCCCCCTCTCAGCTGATCCTGCCCTGGCAGTGGTTTGCACACAGGGAGGGGAACTGAGGCGGTGGGACCTGCCCAAGGGGGCAAGACAATGCCCCAAAAGGCAGCAAACTGCCACCCCAAGTGGCTCCAGCTGCCATCGCTCCCAGGGCAGCTCTGGGCGGCCCCAGGAGCCTCTCCCCTTTCAGACTGGCCAAGGGAGACCCTCAGGGTGAGACCAAACCCCCCAAATGACTGGCTGTGCTCTGGGAAGCAGAGTTCGCTCAGCACCCTCCGTCCCAACTGCTCGTTTTCTTCCCCATTTGCTTTTTTGTTTGGTAAACCAGCACTTAACAATCACTTTTACTATGTGATGTATGGGAGTATTAGTATAATTTTCTTGTTATACAAGGGAGGAGTATAAAATAGTTTTCTGATTTCTTTCAGAAGCAAATGACTATTTTATTTTTTAAGAGCAATTGATTGTGAATCTCAGAGTATAAAAAAAAAAAAAGAGATAAATAAGCCAAATATATACCTTTATGTAAATTAAGAAATAAAAGTATTTAAAATGTACCTGCTGGCTCCTTTCCTGTGTCACCTCTTGGCTGTGCACTCCTGGGGTTTGCTGGGCTGATCCTGGGACAAGGCTGCTCCACACAGGAACACTCGGGTGGGGATGGTGAAGGACTGATGTGCAGTGACACACACAGGGGTGGCTGAGGCTCCCCTGACCAGCTGGGAGAGACCGTCCCACAGCACCCCCTTCAGTGTCCTTTTCCTTCAGCACAGGGCAAGTGTCCAGGTCAGGACACTCCTAAAGCAAAGGACCTGTCGCTGAAACCACCCCCCCTTTTTGGCAGCACCGTCTCAGGGCTTTCAGCTTCATCATCCCGTGTCAAAGACTCGATTAAGCATAATTTTATACATTCTGATGGTCCAGCAGATGGGCTCTGAAAGCTCAGCAGCTTTAGCTGGGTTTGGGTAATGGACATACCCATGTGTGTGCACCCACAAACCCTGCCTCTGTAGAGCCACCAAGGCCACCCACGCCCTGACAAACAGCCTGGTGGGCTGGCACAGGGTGACAACCTGACCCTCTCCAGCACCTGCTGTGCAGCACCCCAAGCTGGTGCTGATGTGTCCTGGTGTCTCTGGAGCCTTTAGCATGGTGGTAACAGGGGTGCTGACTGCAAGGCAACCTCTCCTGCGCAACTCCCAACACTGCATCCCTCTCCCGGTGTCCCTGGCAAAATCTCTGCATGACACACAGGACAGTACTTAAAAAAATCACAGAATCACAGAATGGGTTGGAGGGACCTTAGAGCTCATCCAGTCCCACCACCTGCCATGTGCAGGGACACCTTCCACTACTCCAGGTTGCTCCAAGGCCCGTCCAACCTGGCCTTGGACACTCCCAGGGATGGGGCAGCCACAGCTTCTCTGGGCACCCTGTGCCAGGGCATCACCACCCTCCCAGGACTCCACACCCCTCCCTGGATCTCACTGCCCAGGGCCTGTGGCTGTTTTCCTGCATCCAGAAGAACCCTTGAGCTCTTCTCACTGCCAAAGAGCTCTGGACAGCTGAAAAGAAAAGGCTTCATTAAAATCAAAGCACGCTCTGTCTCCTGAAGTCCTGAAGGTCAAGCGACAGACAGGACATGAAATCAAGTATAATGAAACCTCTGTGATTGTTAAAAGGCACAAATAAGTGCAGGATTTGACTTGGTGGATTAGTGACTGCTTTCTCTAAGCTGTGCATCAAAGCCAGCCCACAGCCAGGTAATTTAATTGGCAAGGGAGTTGTTAGTGAAGCAGGACTCTCATCGTGCCCTGCAGCTCTCCTGTCCCCTCTCCCCTTGCCTGTTCAAGCACTGGAGACTGAGCACCCCCCGGCAGGGCAGGGGTCAGTCCCCTCTGCAGCTCAGCCACTGACATCTGGCACTGCCCAGCTGCCAGCCCTGTGTCACAAACAACAGCTGGCACTGCTTTAACCTTGCGCTGTGCCCTTCCCGAAACGAGTGACGAGCTGATCCACGTGAACTCTTCACCGCAGCAACCCTGGCAGGTATCCCAGAGCAGCTCAGCCTGGTTCCACGGCCTCAGCTCATTCCTGTGGGCAAGGGCCTGCCCAGAGCAGTGGCCTCAGCAGGAGTGTGGTGGCTCTGGGTGCCACACACGTGCTCTCTGGAACAAAGTCCCAGGATGTCCTACTTAGAGGCACAGAGAAGGAAAGGGATCATCAGTGAGAGTTCTCAGATCCGAGTCCTTGTTCCCTCAGGATCACTGAACAGGACAGCCCCACCTGCAGCCTCCTGTGCATTTGCATAACCCAGGAAAAGGGACCGCTCTGGGGACAGCTGGAGGGGCTTAGCTGGGATTGAGGTTTTAACGAGGCAATGAACCAGCTTTCAGCAGTAAATGGCAGAGGCAGAGCAGCATCCCCGGTGCCCACAGGCCCCTTTGGAGGAGAGGGCCTTCTTCTGGAGACAGGATTGGCAATAC